ATAATTTGTATGTTGGTACACTTGAAGTTGTCCCAGAGGCTCCTTATACTTAATATTTTTGGATTCTTATTTCTTTTTGCTTTTCCAGTTGGGTCTTTTTTGCTTCCTCAAATTTCAAATCTCTGACTTGATCCTTGGGATCCTCTAGTCTGTGGAATCTCTGTATATTATTCTTTATTTCAGTCATTGTGTGCTTAATTTCTGATTGGTCCTTTTCCTTTTTTTTTTTTTTTTTTTTTTTTTTTTTTTTTTTTTTTTTTTTTTTTTGCATTCTCACTAAGATCCTTGAAGATTTCAGGGAGTTCCTCGGAGGTTTCTAGAAGACTCTTGAGTAACCATATAACCATGGTTTTGAACTCTATATCCAGTATTTTGCTTTCTTCCATTTGTTTTATTTGTGACATGTTTCTTTGTCTCTGCATTTTGGCTGCTTTCATGTGTTTGTTTCTATGTATTGGTTAGCTGCTAAGTCTCCTTGAGTTTATAGAGTGGCCTTATGTAATAGGTGTCCTATAGGGCCCAGTGGCTCAGCTTCCCCAATCACCTGAGGTGGGCACTGTTGGTGCATCCCTTTGTGGGCTGTTTGCACAGTCTTGTTGTAGTTAAGCCTTGATTGCTATTGGTATTACTGGGAGAAATTGACCTCCAGCCAATTGGCTGTGAGAACCAGTTGTGTCTACAATGGAAGAGCTGCTGTGCAGGAGACCTCCTTGTGGAGCAGAACTTGCTTCAGAGGGGCTTTGGTACTCACTGAGTCTACCCCTTGACTGTGTCACTTATGGATGTAGAGTTGTAATCCAGTATGTTCTCACTGTGACCACTGGGTATATCAGCTCATGGATCTCCAAGGAAGTGCAAAGTCAGCCACTGCCTGGGACCACCCAGCAGGAGCTACAGAGAGATCTGCAGATTCCTCCTCTTTGTATGGGGTTTGGAACTGCCCAGACGAGGCCCAGCTATGAAGCAAGGCAGGCTGGTGCTGGTTCAGCATTGGGCCTTCTTTTGATATCTTTAGAGCTCCCTGATCCAGCTGGTACTTGTTTTAGGTTCAGAAAAGACAGGCCATTCATATGCAAAAGCTACTGTACACAGCTTGGGTGGGGTTTTAAATTGGGTATAGAGAGGTGTCCAGGAATCTCCAGGGTGGAGCAAACAGCAATGGCTGCCAGTCAGCCCTGCACCGGGGAGGTTCCAGCACAGGAACAATGATCGTTTCAAGCACCTTCATCTGAAAGAAAGCGACCCTCACATCCCTGCCACAATGCTAGACAGTCCATTTTCTCCCATATGTGGCTGGGTCACCCAGAGTCTCGCCCAGAACTGGAGTTCAGAGCAAGCAGGAGCTTGTATCTCTCTCCCGATTAAAAGAGCAGTGCACCTGAGTGCCAGCCCATTCCACACCTCTCACCTCCTACCAGACTCAATGAGCTTTCTTCTTTACCTCTCTGGTTTAGTACTTCCACTCAGCCAGCTTTCCTGTGGTTCTGGATGATAGTTGTTCTTTTAGTTGTAATTTTGATGTGGTTGCAAGACACAGCAACTACGGGTGTTTACCTATGCTGCCATTTTGGTTCTTTCCCTTTCTTTCTTTCTTTCTTTCTTTCTTTTTTTAATATATATATGTAAAAAAAAATTTTTTTTTCAGAGAGGAAGGGAGAAGGATAGTTAGAAAGATCAATGAACTGCCTCCTGCTCACCGCCCCCCCCTCCACTGGGGATGTGACTAAAACCAAGGTACATGCCCTTGACCGGAATCGAACCTGGGACCCTTCAGTTCAAAGGCCAGTGCTCTATCCACTGAGTCACACTGGTTAGGGCTCTCCTTTGCTTTCTTATTTGAAGTTGTAATGACTTCAACTTTCTGCAATGCAGAATCCATTTATATAATATTGAAAGTAGAAAGGAAAATACAAGTTATCTCTTCTAATGTGTACTTCCTCTCTAGGATGCTCAACAAACTGAGACATCTTCATTAAGATAATTTAGCATTGAAAAGAAATTCTAAGTTTCTGAAAAAGTGTTAGAGTTGCCATTTACTATACTAATCCTAAATCCTTTAAAAAAAAATATGATCATTTAGAGAAAATTGTGTCAATGGAAAATACTACATTCTAGATTAACCCTACTTGTCTTTTCTTTCTCCCTTTCTCTCTCTCCCTCTCTCTCTCTCTCTCTCTCTCTCTCTCTCTCTCTCTCTCTCGGAATTAACATGTCAAAAGGTGCCTTTTAAAAATATTTTTCTTGGGGTATTGGGGACTTAAAATTTTTACTTGAAATAAATCAACAGATTTATTTGGTGTTAATTATAAAAGGAGCAATACATTGTTTAGAACAATCAGTAATACTTTTCGTCCAAAATAATAGTAAGCAGAGCTGTATTTCTAACCCCAAAGAACAGTAAAAATTCCTCAGAGTGGAAGAAACAAAGATGGAGGCAAAGGTAGACACCTAACTGCAGCCTCACACAACAATTTCAAAAAATACAGCTAAAATACAAAATGGACATTATCCAAAACTACAGGAAAGTTGACTGACTGGAAATTCTACAACTAGAAGGAAAGAGAAAACCAAAAAGAAAATCAAAGGAGCTGTAAAAGCCTAAGGTACGGAGACATGGTGTGCGAGTGGGGAGAGGATGGAGCCAGAGAGGAGGGGAGGCTGAGTGCCTGGCTGGCGTTCCCTAGCAGAAAGGAGATAAAAGCTCCGGACTGTTGAACCCCAGTTACAACAGCACTGAACCCCAGTTCTGGGCAAGACCCTGGGGACCCAGGCTCATACAGAGGGAATCTAGGCTGTAAGGCAGAGCAGCAAGAGGTAGTCCCGGAGGCACGCATATTGTAAGGCGGAGCAGCAAGAGGTAATCCGGGAGGCGCGCATATTGTGTGCAGAGGATGGGCTGATGACTCTGCTGCTGGATTGCCCTAGCAGGAAGGAGACAAAAGCTCCAGACTGTGCTGAGCCCTAGATCCAACTGCACTGAACCCCAGTTCTAGGCCAGACCCTGGGGACCCAGGCTCATACAGAGAGAATCTGGGCTGTAAGGCGGAAACTCGGGAGCAGCGAAAGGCAGTCCCGGAGGTGCGCACATTGCGCGCAGAGGATGGACTGTTGACTGTGCCACTGGATTGCCCTACCAGGAAGGAGACAAAAGCTCCACACTGCACTGAACCCCACTTCCAACTGCACTGAACCCCAGTTCCAGGCTCATTGGGGGAGAGCCTAGACTGTTTGGTAGCGGGCGAAACTCGAGGGCACCTTTCTCTCAGAGGTGCTTGCAGCGAGTACCAAAGGACACAGGAACACTGACACTCAGGAACCTCATAGAGCTGGGCTGATGGGAAGCTAAGGCTGTAGGCTCCACCCTGAAACTCCGCCCCATCCAAGCTGAACTCAGAGACTTTTAAGGCTACCAACTCAGGAAAGCTGCGAAAATGCCAAGACAAGGAAATAGATCACAAGCGAAGCAAAAGTAGCCACTAGCAGGCTCAGGGTGAGGCCGAGTCTCTGCACCTGTCAAGCACCTGAGACAATCCAGACTCTGGCCTGATCCCACCAGCTGATGCAGGTCCCCTAAGGTGTGTTCTAGAAAGAGCATGGGGAACTGGCATAGGCAGATGGCAAGAGGGGACGTGACTGTGGACCCCCCAGGGAGGCTGTCCTGATGGCTGAGGAGCCTGGATCACGGCTATTCTGAACATCCCCTAATGTGTCACCGACCTGGCTTCACACATCAAGGACATTCACAGAGTGGCTTTGGGGTGCAAAGCTCTCTGCCAGGTTCCTCCAGGACACAGAACACACCTTTACCCAAGACATTACCCCTAAATATCAGCTCAGACTAATTTCCTCATTCAACAGCCATCCAGAGGGCGGGTCCACAGCCACTCAGCTGACTGGGATGAGCAGCGCTCCTGCAGCTGGCCGATCCTTGCAGGCCACAACCCCATCAGTGCACAAATCCATGCACTGGGTCTCTAGTATATTATGAAAAGCAGGAAAAGTGGAGCAATACACTGAAATAAATTGGAGAAGATATTAATTTTAAGAAAAAAAACAGGAATCAAGTCTTAAAGAACAAATGAGATTCCTATGAAATTGAAAGAACTTTTTGAAAAGCAGGATTAAAGGGAGATATACTCAGATGGTAAGAAACAGTGATGTAAAATCACATAAAAGCTATGATGACCTTAACTTAATAAAATCTTAAAAGTCACTAAAAATAAATGTCCACTAGTTTGAACTTAAATTTAAGTCCTTAACCATTTTGTCTGAATTATAATTTATGATTGTATATTAGTACTTCACATCTTGGAATTTGTCAGTTTATAGCTTTATAAGGCACAACGTTTTTTAGGTATGATTGCAAATATTTTTTAAATCTAAACCATACAATACATGATTATATCACATTTTTCAATGTTGACTTTTAAATGTCAGAATAAATGTAATACCAATGTAAACCACAGGGTGGGAGTGAAAGGCAAGAACTTGTGTTAAACTTAAATACATAAAATTGCTCTATCTTTAAAATGCTTGTTAAATGCTAAGGAGCTGATGCTTCGTTTCTTCCTCTAATACAGCTGCATTCCCCAGCAAAGAATATATAATAAATACAGACATTGATTTAAGTGGAAAAGAAGTACACACACACACACACACACACATTTTTTTCTGCCTAAACTTTCTGGTCCTTTCAGGTGCTACTAGTGATCAGAGTAGCAATTTTGATCAATAGCTAGATCTGAGAAAATTTCTTGAATTACCAGTATTGGAAATAATTGAGCAGAAATACTTTGTCTTCATCCTATTTTTTTTTACCTTTGTTTTCCTTTTCCCCTTATTTTCATTTAAAGGAGAAGGGGCGAATCTATTATATATCTATAAGCTACCTAAACTTACTTTTCAATGAGGAATTTAAATTTTTCATTGTGTTTTTTGTTAACCCATTCTTATTTGAGTTTAGAAGCAATTTAAAGTGTTAATTATTTTGTATCTCTAAGGAAAGAAGACAAGAGGTTTCTTCTACTAGAAAAGAAACTTCACCAAGGAATTTTGACAATCCTTTATTCCATGAAAGGTAGTGCTATATCTTTTTTTTTTTTTTTGCCAACTCTAAAAATTATAAATATTGAAATATATTTTTACTTACATATTTTGTAAATATTAGCAGTTGTAAGAAAATAGCAGTCTCTTAGTATAGAAGTACAAGAGACTAATCTAGGTCTCCTGAATGTGAAAATAACCTAAATAAGTTAGATAAGTTATAGTAGAGGTGAATCTAAATTTGATTTTTCTAAAGCAATATTTTATTTTAAGAATTTCTAGACCAACTATATGGCCACATTGTTTTATTCAATGGCCATTAATATGAACTTTATCAAAGTAAGGATTATTTAATTTGCTTCTACTTAAGAAGCTTACAGAGAACAAAAGTCAATGCATTAATATTTCTAATGTGTGAATAAGACAGCCAGCATAAGTGTGATTTATGAATAAGTACATTTGTTAGTCTGCCCTATCTTTATGTATTAGAACTTGTCATTTTTCACTTACTTTGTGCCTGGCTCTCCAAACATTAGAATTGTTTTGGGGATATTTTCTAGGAATTGAAAACATTTTTTTAACTTTAACTTTTCAGTAATTATTTTATGATACATAAATATGTGCTATATAACTTTAATTATGATTAAAGAATATTTGAAGAAATATCCTTAAATTTTTAAATATTGATTTATTTTTAGGAGTTATATAGAGAAGACTTTCTGGGATCTGAAAGAAGAATTTCATAGAATATGCATGCTAGCAAAAGCTCAAAAAGACCACTTAAGCAAACTTAATGTCCCAGCCACTGCAGCTGGTAAGGTTTGACTTAATATAATATTAATATTATTGATAATATTAATTTTATTGGTTGAAATTTCTTTTTTGTTATGAAAATATTTTAAGTGCTCTTTATGTTTTATAATGTATAATTTTATGTAATTTCTTGACTTTTTCCCTCTATTTTGTGATACATATAGTAGATTACATTGAATGACACAATTACTAATCATCTTTTTTTTTTTTAATATATTTTATTGATTTTCCACAGAGAGGAAAGGAAAGGGATAGATAGCTAGAAACATCGATGAGAGAGAATCATCGATCAGCTGCCTCCTGCACATCCCCCACTGGGGATGTGCCCGCAACCAATATACATGCCCTTGACCAGAATCGAACCCAGGACCTTTCAGTCCGCAGACCGACACTCTACCACTGAGCCAAACTGGTTTCGGCTACTAATCATCTTAATGAGAAGTTTCACCTTGGAAAAAGTACAAAATAAATATATGAGCTGAGTTACATTATAACATCAGCTTTGTTGTTAACTTCTGTCTGAAAGTTAATTGAACACTATAGTTAGATGCTTGTAATTTGGTTTGAGAAGTAAACATTACACATTTTATGAGGCCAGTTTCGTTGGAGGCACAAAGTACAAACTTAGTATTAAAAATAACTTAAAAGGAACATCTGTTTTTCACATGTTGCAGTGTGTGTTTTTTTAAGCTCCACCCTTTCCTAAAACCTCAGATTGGCTTCCTGGTGTTTGCATCAGTAGTTCGTATGAATAGCAAAATTCTGGGGATTGAACCTGGCTACCAAGCACTTATGTAAACAAAAGGAAGGTAAACTGATCAGTTGTGATAAATTCTTCTTTACCCTTGTGATTTGAGACATTCTGTATGCAATTCCGAAGAGATGTGATTTACAGTTTTCACTCTGAAAGATGTTGCAGCAGTGCTAATACCCCTTTAATTAAAGATCACTTTCCATTTCTTTTAGCTCTTATATCTGTGCTATTTAAAAGTCATTCTGTAGTGTAAATTCATTTTTTGCTTACGGTACTACTGCCATTTTGTTTTCAAAAAAAGGACACCATGTTGTGTAGGAAAAACAAAACAGTCTTTGTAGATAGACATAATATATTGCTTCTCCTCCTTTTTCTTACCTTCCGAAGTAATTTTTCCATCTTAATTTTTGTCATGTTTGTTAGAGATTGATTAATCTGTGCCAACTAAAAACACTACTTATGAAGTGAAATGATTATTTTTACTTAAAATATACTAGCTATAGCCCTAACCGAATTGGTTCAGTGGATAGAACGTCAGCCTGCAGACTGAAGGGTCATCCCAGGTTCAATTCTGGTCAAGGGCATGTACCTTGGTTGTGGGCTCATCCCCAGTAGGAGGTGTGCAGGAAGCAGCTGATCGATGTTTCTCTCTCATCAATATCCCTCTTCCTTCATCTCTGTAAAAAATTCAATAAAAATATTTTATATTATTTTTTAATTTTATTGATTAAGGTATTATATATATATATATGTGTCCTTATTCCCCTCATTACCCGTCACCTCCCATTCATGCCCCTACCCCCTTGTTGTCTGTATCCATTGATTAAGCTTATATGCATGCATATAAGTCCTTTGGTTGGTCTCTCCCCCTTACCCTCACCTTCCCTGAGGTTTGACGTTCTGATTGTCAAAAAATATATAAAATATATTTTATAGAGAAATAGTACCTGGAATTCATAAACATGCTTTTTTGAACATTAACATCTTATCAAAACATTGAAATGGTGATATATTCATTGGCCTTACCACATTATCAATGGCTTAATGTTTTGACCATTTTTAAATTGCACAGGTCTAAATCTAGTATGTATCTGTCAACTAGAACACTGAGTGTTTAACTTCAATTTCTTCCCCATTAAAGCTGCTTCCTAACATTACTCTTATGCTTTATATTAACTATCACAAATAATAAACATAACATTATTCTTGAAATGTTTTAAACACGTTGTGCCACAGATTCCACTGAAGTTTTGCTGGGTCCAAACAGAAACCAAAATATCAAATATTAGGCTGTTGACATTATTAGATCAAAAGGGGAAAGAAAAAAAAGAAATGTTTTGGGAAAAGATGTCTAGGCATGTTTTTCAAGGATAAAACACTAATTTGAAAAAACATAAAAGAAGTATTTCAAATGTGATTTGCATAATAGATCTGAAAAAAGTACATTTAATGTTATTGTTTCTGTGTTTCTTTTGTTAACATTTGATTTTTACTTTTAAATAAACATATAATTCGTGAAAATTGCTGTTAGTAGACTTGTTTGTTTCCTTTTCATTACTTTCGTTTTCCTTTTGACTCACATATGGCAATAGCCTTGAGAAGGAATAAAATAAAATGTACATTTAAGCAAATGTAGCTTCAAAAAAAAACACTATTTGATGGAAAGGAGGGTTCTATTTCAGTGGGGATTGGAGCAAAAGAATAATTGGATTAGAGGGTCACAACCATTGGATTTTTTATTTTGGCGATATACAAGTCAAACTATAAAATAGTCTCAGTGGACAGCCTATACTTTTAAATTTTAAAAATGTAAAAATATTTCTTATTTTTATTTTTTTCCCCTTGCAATAATAAGTTTTCTTGAACTAAACAAAATAGAAAAGCAATTTGCTCACCTGATCATGTTTCTCAGTACACTGTTAGTGCTTTAGTGTACCTTATTTGAGTTTTAAGTTTTCTAAACTTGGATTTCTAGCAGCCTTAAAAGTCTTATATTTTTTTAATTGATTTCAGAGAGAAAAAAAAGAGGGAGGAAGAGTTAGGGACATCAGTGATGAGAGAGAATCAATTTTATTGTTTGCCCGTTTAATGATCAGCTGCCTCCTGCACACCTACACTGGGGATCGAGCCCAAAACCTGAGCATGTGCCCTGGCCAAGAATGGAACTGTGACCTCCTCATTCATAGGTTAACACTCAACCACTGAAGCCATGCAAGCTAGGCTAATTTTTTTTTTTTTTTTTTTTTTTAGAAAGTAACTTTCATTGCTTGAACAGATTAATTCAGAAGATATTTTTTTAATGTGACTGATCTATGCCAGGTAGCTATGCTGAAAGAAATACTGCTTTAATACAGCTGTTTGGGTTTTTCATGTTTTGTTCACAGGGAGGGTAGGAAAAGAAATTCACAGCACATTTCTGTCATTTTGTTGACTCCTCTGTGTATAGAAACTGGCGTGTTCAACTTAGCATAATGGTCCAGAGCACAGGCTGTAGAATTAGGTTGCCTGGGTCCCGGTGCCACATCTAGCACTCATCCGTTAGCCAAGTACCTTGGAATTACCTCTCCATGCATGACTCCTTTCCTCGTTGGTAAAGTGGGGATAAAATAGTATCTACTACATGATTATTTTTAATATTAAATGAATTTGTGTACTATATACAATTATTATAATAAGGCATAGCACATAGAAACACTATTAATATTGGCATTATCAGCAACAGCAAACACTTCTTGTTATAGTCATTTTGATAAGTGTTCCTTCCTTCTAAGGTGATACAGAATTTGGGTAACTCAACTGTTGGTTTTCCTTATTATTTGCAATTAGCAAGTATAATCTGCAAATGAAGTACTGTTTCCTAGAATTTTTTGCCATTCTTAAACGTACTACTTGGAAAATGACAACTTGAGAGTTAATGGACTTTAAGAACCTCAGCAGACAAAGAAATCTTGCTAAACATTTAAGCTTGATCTCAATTTACCACTGCTAGTTCAGATTTTCTAGTAAATGTAGATTCTTATACCTAGTTCAGTGGGGAAGAGAATACAGATTCATTCAGAATGCATTTATTGACAGCATACTATGCGCCAGACACTGGGCAAGGTACTGGGGATAGTAGAAAACAAAACATAGTTTAAAATCTTAAGAAACCTACAGAGTGTTTACTCCGTAGAGCACCTGAGTCATGCCTAAACCAGTCTTGGGAAGCCAGAAGAGCCACCAAGATAAATTAATATTTAAGCCAAGGAATGAAGAGCAAATAAGAGTTAGACAAAGAGTAGTGGTATGGGACACCAGATATTCTGCACAACATGTGCAAAATCCACAAAAGAAGAAAGCATATCTATTTTGGAGCACTCTATCAAAGTTCATCATAGCCAGAGTAAGATGTGAGACAGGTATAGTGAATATGAGAGAATGGAGAGGTGACTAGGGGCTGTGGGTCATGGAAAGCCATGGAAAGGTTTTATTGGGAAGGTAACAGGACCAGATGTGCACTTTAGAAACATTAAGGCGGTAGGGAGTGGGGGTATGTAGAGAATGAATTAAATATGAGGTAAATTTAGAGGCAAGGAAGCAGTTCAAAGACTACTATAATCTAACAAGAGAAGGTGATTTGTATTTTTTTTAAATGTAGAAGGTATATAACAGAGGGACCAACAGTTGGATGATTGGAATGTCATTTGGTATGAGACAGCAAAGACCCAAGAGGAAGGGAAGGAACTGACATTTGTTAAGTATCTATGAACCTGGACAGATACTGTGCAAGGTTCTTTGTACAGCTGTCTGTTTAAATTGGCATCCAAAATCGGTCAATTTTCCATTTGTGAATGTACAACTTCATTGATATTTACCTTGTTAAAGTGATAATGGTTTTTAATTTTTATTGTTTGCTCCGTTTAATGAAAATACTAGTATGTTATCAACTTCCAGCCTCACTGCCTCTTGAAGTAACATTGTAGAGCATAATGGAGCCTTTTCTAATGTCTCCGCGTCACCAACATGCAGAGCGCTTGATCACTGTTTTATTGTTTTGGGTTGTTTGTTTTTTCATTGAAAAATGTAGCCCCTGCTGGCCCTAAACAAGACTAGTGTTTTCTGAGTTCTTATATCTGCTTTTTAGTTTTTCTTGTCTCCTCTCCTGCCTTCAGCTCTTGTTGACAAGTATATCTGCCTTCAGCAACTCATGTGCATACCTTTTAATATGCTGCTTCTAACAAGCTATGAGTCAGGGCAGTGGTCAGCAAACTGCAGCTCTCAAGCCACATGCAACTCTTTGGCCCTTTGAGTTTTTAGCAAAGGCCAGTTTAGTAGGAGTACCCTAATTAAGTTAATAACAATGCATCTACCTATATAGTTTAAGTTTTAAAAATTTGGCTCTCAAAAGAAATTTCAATTGTTATACTATTGATATTTGGCTCTGTTGACTAATGAGTTTGCTGACCACTGAGCTAGGGAAATATCATCAAGCTTGTTAGAATAAATCTAATATGAGAATAAGAGCAAAATTCATATATCTATAGCACTTGAAGCTCTAATTCTGACTCCTGAGAAGCTCCATTTACTTACTTTTTAGCTTTGCCTAAGCCCTAGAGAGCTGAAATTGTTGGACAAGTGACTTCTGGGTAAAATGAGCTACAGAGGACCTGGTATCTATCTACCTGTTATCTACCGAGGCCTTTGTTTTAAATTTATAAGATGAAATTTTATATATTCATATATAATTTTCTGCACATGCATTCCAAAATTTCAGCCTTCTGTTACCTCTACTCTCTTCTTTCTCCCAATCCCTACCTTCTCCACCACTCTCTCACATGGATTATTGAAAGTAGACAGTGGCTAAATAGATTGGTGAGATACTGTCACACAGTGATATTAGGGGAAAATGACCTAATTCATATAAATTTTTAATCTGTAATAAATGTGTGTGTGTGTGTGTGTGTGTGTGTGTGTGTGTTGTGTGTGTTGTGTGTAATCTTGTAAGGATTTTCCCTTTTAACAAGGTATTTGTCTAATAAGCAAGCTCGCAGTTGCAGCTTCTCTTCCTGACAAAATGTTTAAATGTATACATTACAAGAAACGTTTTTTGGTTGGTGTGTGCTTTTTTTTTAAGTGTAGAAGAGTAGAACTGTGAACAAGATGCAAAGCTTATAGCAAAAGACCTGGGGGGAAAAAACAAAGCAGTTAAACTGCAGCTAATAAGCACGTTCCAGTTCACCCACCAGAGAATGCTAATATTTCTGTGTAAAACGGTAGCAAATGTAAAAAATTACAGTTGTCTTCAGTTCCTATAAAAACCAATAGAAAAAAATAATGCTTATCTGTCCAAGGTTAATTGAATTCAGATTTTTAAGAATGATTGGAATATGACTGTTTTCCTTATGTGTTCTTTTCTCTGCAGAAACACAGTGCTCGGTGCCTATACAGTGTACGGATAAAGCAGATAAACAAGAAGCGCTGTTTGAGCCTCAGGCTAACGATGATATAAATAGAAGTGCATCCTGCATCACATCTGTCACACCAAGAGGACTGGCCCAAGATGAAGAAGACACCTCCTTTGAATCACTTTCTAAATTCAATGTCAAATTTCCACCTATGGACAGTGACTCTGCTTTCTTGCATAGCACTCCAGAAAGACCCAACATCCTTGGTCCTGCCGCGTCTGAGGTTGTGTGCCAGGATAAATTCAATATCGATATCAGAGACAACCCAGGAAACTTTGCTAAAACAGAAGAAACTTTATTTGAAATTCAGAGAGTTGACCCCATAGCTTCAGCTATACAAAACCTTAAAACAACTGACAATACAGAATCCTCAAATCTTGTAAACACTTGTATCAGGACCACTCTGGATAGAGCTCCGTGTTTGCCACCTGGAGACCATAATACATTGTATGTAAATACATTACCACTTGAGGACCTGTCTCATACATCTTTTCCTTCACTTGATTCCCCGGGAAAAGCTATCCGAGGACCACAGCAGGTAACTGTTTTGCATTAACAAGTATATTATGTGTGGACACACATTTTGCCAAACAGGCACAGATATGCATCTCTTTCAGATTATCGGACATCCTTTTAAACTAATGACTAACCAATCTAAGCTCCCAATAAAATTCAAGCTCTATAATAAATGGCATGAAATTATAAAAGATGAATATGGGAAAGCTCTATTTTAAAGTACCTTAAAACTTAAGGTACATTTTAAAATATACGTAAGCCTTATCCATATCAAGCATGTGTCACTTTCTGAGTCCTTTACAGAGCTCCGTCACTCAGCATCAGTGTTATAATAGGATTCTTTTCTAAATTTCATACTGTGAAACAAATGGCATTTCTCTATGGAACAGTTTGTGTAGATCATAGTCATCTTTACAAGGATCTGTAATGTTTCATAAGTAAATAATTGCATTCTATATTCCCATTTAGCAAAATAAGTAATCTGTCTTTTAACTAATGATCCTATTATATTCTCATTTATGCAATGCATAGATTTATATAGTTCAGTTTTGGTTTTGGTTTCTAATCTGGCACTGAACATGCAGCCTAACATATTTTTAATAGTTTCTGTATATATATTATTTTAATTAAATACTTTAATGTTCCTAATATTTGAGGACTTCTTAATGTCCCCCCCCAATCCATTCCTACCATCTTTTTTATTCAGTAATAATTTAATTTAGGGATAACTTTTTAGTTTAAAAAAAAAGTTATTAATGCCTGAAGGCTAGTGAAAATATATAATTGTTAAAATAAACAGACACTCATGAAAATACAGATTGGTGTAAATGTCTATATAACTTACAGACATTTGTTTGATTTCTCTTTCTCTTAAACAACTTGATGAATACCCTTTGGCTTTGTAAGTATTCTGATAGATTATAGACTTTTAAATCAGCATACAAAGGATGCCGTAGCCAAGCTGTGGTATATTTCAGTAGTGAGGAAAACTAGGCATCTATGACAATAAACTTTAATTATAAACTCACTCATGTTCTACTTTGTACCTTATTTCATATCATAGTCTTAGTGATAAGTTACTTCTAAATGAAGCAAATTAAGCAATTTCATTTATTGCAAGTAGAATTCCTGTGGAGCTGTGAAATGCATCAGTTCTAATGCTTGTTACTTTTTTCTCCATTATATTTCTTGCTTGTTCTTTTACTAGTTAGCCTGTGCATTCATGTTTCAGTAGATGGCACCCTGCATTGTGCATTTGCTTTCTATGATAGAGCAGGGAAACAGCTGGTATGTGATTACAACTTGATGGAAAAGGATTCAGCTTTAAAAATGCAGGAGAATTGGTGTTGAGCTGTCACAAGACACAGTGCATAAGGTTAGATAATTGATATTTTGGCAGGAAAGGCAAAATTAGTTTGTTTTAAAGGTCATGGTACAGTTTAGGATTGAAAAACTATTTCTTAAGGTGGATTTCTAAAAATATTTTTCTATTTTTTTGTATTAATAAAGCTAGTATCATAAATACAAAATTCTTGAGTTGAAATAACAGAGGAGCAAAATTGTGGTTACATCTTTCAAATTTTTACTTTTTATCAATCATTATAACACTTTTTTTAATACGTTCAGCTGTCATTACAAAATCTAAAATATATCTTGCTTATTTTTGCTCTGTGTGACTTTCTTTTCTTCCGACTTTTGCTGAGTCAGTCATTGGGACCCCATCGGAATTTTATGAGATCAAACCTTAATTAATAGCTGCTAACAAAGAAAGATAAATACGGACTTTGAAGATAAATTGCAGTAGAAGATTGGCTCACCAAATTGAGAAGCTAAATTGCTTCTGACTCTGTTTTTTAGTATTTTATAGATCTTAGTAATTATTATTTTAGCATGCCTTTTATTATTTATATCTAAATCAATTTCCCATTAGGGTGGTAGGTAGTAATCAATTGTACTTTTTGTTTAAACTGCAAGCAGTAAAATTTAAATCTAGCTAACTAGACATTTGCTTATATACTCAAAATTATTACTGCTTCTTTATCATGAAAAAGGGTTTTTTTAATTATTTCAAAATGTATGTTTCAGATATTACTGTTTTATGTAATAAAATTACCACTTCTCACAAAAGGAATTGAGTCAGTGTTATTATTAGCCCTCCATGTTATCTAAATGTTTCAACTAGTGATACATATACCGTTTTTGTAAATGATTGGCTAACTAGAATGAAAGAGATTGAGGGAATGAAAACTAACACTGTATTAGATGTTGAACTAGGCTATTACTTTAAAAACATATTCTTAATAGGAGCACAAAGGTGTCTCTTTAAATTGACTTTTTGAGGTGATTTTCCTCAAACTATCAGAATTTAGGTATGTCAAGGTAATTCATCTATGCAAGGTAAGAAAGCAAGTTTAAAAAATAATTTGGCTTACAACACTTTAGGAAAATAAGATAGTTCAATCAACAAGTATTTATTGCGTACCTCTTATGGAGCTAAAAGGCTTTTCCTTGCCCTTCTGGGATTTTTTTTTTTACAAATAAATTCAGTTATATAAGGGTGTTTATGTGCTGCTTATAATTTTATTGAATTATAATTTTCTATAAGTCTTTAATTAGGTAACTATTAACAGGTTTTTACTTTATTCAGCCACTAAAAGTAATAAAGAAGGCCAGACTATGCACTACATAACAGGAGCAAAATAAGAAAGAATAAATCAGGTGTTAGATTTTGTTGAATGATTAAATGTTTGTGTGTGTTTTCTTTTTTTTTTTTTTTTACTTTATTTTTTTCCCTAGAGAAGAAGGGAATGGGAGAGAAACACCAGTGATGAGAAACATTGATTGGCTGCCTCCTGCATGCTTCCCCACCAGGGATCCACCCCCCCACAACCCAGTTATGTGCCTTTGACTGGAATCGAACCTGGGACCCTTCAGTCAGCAGGCTGACGCTCTATCCACTGAGCCAAACCAGCTAGGGCTAAATGTTTGTGATTTTAAAAAAACAAATAATCAATGGAATTTGTTTAGTAGTTTCAAAGAAAAAAACTTCAAAAATGAAAAAAAATTGCATATAAGTTATTCATTATGTATTTGTTTATAGGTGGTGAAATTTGAATCTTTCTTCATCACAATGCATGTATATATACATATTATGTCTAGTGGACCATGTATTATTATTAATTAATTAGGCCCTATAATTTAAGGTTTCTATTGTAAAATAGAAAAGGTAGAATTTAATTTTTAAAGTCTCAGTTGTTAACTGTTGTTCTATAACTACTGCCTTTGTGGTACTGGTATTAAAATATGTTGGTCTTAAAGTTGGAAGATTTTAAAATACATGAAAATAAAGTACATGAAAGTGTATTTTAAGTGATTTTTTAATCACAGTTTAGTTGTACCCCTTTAAATTGAGTCATGTCTCATGCTAACTCCATGGAAAGGTAATTTGCTTTCATATTAGGGAATTCATATATATGCACATACCCATTCCAACTATTTGAATTTGAAACTCAATGAAAATTGATTTTAAATACAAATAACAGGAAATGTCTTTCTTTGTTTCCTGCAGCCTGTTTGGAAACCCTTTCCTAAACAAGACAGTGATTTCTCATCGGTACTAAGTCGCACAGGCTCAGAACTGCATATACCTCCAGTATGTGAATTCTGTCACGAAGTTCTCCCGCCATCCATTACTTCCATGGGGGATTTCCTCCGGCATCTTAATTCACACTTTAAGGAGGAGACTTAAGACGCCTTTGAAAACAGACTTATCACTGTTCTATGTGATGATTCGGGGTTTGTAATACTGTAGATACTTGATTGCAAAGTTAGTTCAAGATCATTTATTGAAAAATCACAGATATTTGAATTTTTTCTAAACTTATATTGTAACCCTCCTTTATTGTCTTTTAAAAGATCAAATTGCAGTTGATTGTGTTCATGTTTACAGTGTTTGTTACCATAATTCAAAATTATGTATGTGACTTTCAGAATTGTATGACCATAATTTATGTATGCTTCAACTATCTAAGCTTATTGCTTGGAATCCTAGTTATATCTATTGAATTTGGTGATGTCAAATGTTTCATTTGTTTTCATTAAAAATTTTAAATTATTTATGCTCTATGTGATGTTCTTTTTTAATAAACCTATAATAGAGAATAGCAGACAACATGAGCATCTAAATACAAAATCTAAGACATTTATTGCCCAGTGATAAAATCACTAGTAAAACTATTTAAACACTTTAGATTTCTTAAAATAACATATTTGGTTTTAATTTTTTCTGTGTAGCTACATGATGAAATGAATTTATTTAAAGAGTTACTTATATAGTGATCATTAATGTGTTCTTTGTTCCTGAGTGACAAAATGTAAAGGATAAAACACATTTTTGGGAAGTTTATAAAATGCATGTTTTATTCCCAGTAACTTGTTAGAAGAGTGATACCAGATCAGGTAATATTTTATTATAACCAGTAGCTCACTTTGAATTTTTAAATTACTTTTCAAACTAACTAAAGGAACCTGTATTTAATGGGAGCAAATCTAAAACTATCCATATTTACTTATATTAGTAATATTCACATTCTTGTTGATAGATTTGTTACTCATTGTTAGCAGCCTGGTTGATGGCCACCGGAAGACATTTGAGAAGATACCAGTTCAGAAGGCTGCAGAATGTTTAAAATGATGCTCCCCCTTCTTTTCCTTCCCTGTAATTCTTTTAGGTTTCTCTTCCCTCCCTCCCCACCCCCAATATTTTAAAATGGTTGAGGCACGACTTACATTTTATGAAGTAAACATTGATTTGCAACTCTCAAAACAGAAAGTTAAGCCTTCTTCGGAACATGTGTTTGGAAAAGCTGGAGGGCTTAGGGTGAGGGAATTGGAGCAGGCCCCTGTGCCACAGTGAAGAGCCTTCACTTGAGGAAGGAGGAGAGCAGTGCCTCAACTGCTCAGGGTGCCAAGCACATCACACTGACATCTTCCTCACCAAGGTGGCACGGTGGTTATTAGGTATTCACTGTGAAGGTGTCTGAGGCATGTACATCTTTCTTTCATTGCCACTGGGTCTGAATGGAAATGCCTAGACAATTATCCCAGCCTCCCCCTCTCCCCCAACCTCCACCCCCACCCCAGCCTCCCCTCTCACTTCTCCCACCCCCCCCACACACACACACCATTAAAAATAAAAACACTCCAGTGAGTACCAGCCAGAATATACCACTGTACCTATCGCGAAAGGGGATTCTTTTTCTCTCTGCTTTTCCAGGAGAGGAAAAGCCCCTCTCGCACAGTTGACACCTAGACGACTGACAACGCCAAGAAAGTACAGCCCGGAAAGTGACTCCCATGACAGTGTACTGTTGACCCCTCTTCACTCCTTTCCCACACGCACCGCGTGTGCAGTAAGAGCTGTGGGGGAACCTTTGTTTTCTTTTGAGTCCCGGGACTACCAACTTCCCAGGGACAAAGCCCCCTTGGGCCCCGCGGGGGGCAGCCCGGGCCCTCCCCGCGCTGCAGGGGCGGCGCTGGCCGCCGCGCCCGGCGGAGAGTGGGCCCCGCCGGCCTCTCCCTCTGTCTCTGACTGCTGCTGAGTCGTGCAGGGGCTGCGTCCTGACATCTGCTCGGCGTGGCCGGGTAGGAACAGCTCCCAGGTAAAAAAGCTGCACCCGCGAAACGCTGAGTCTGAAAAGAACACCCCCGCCGAGGCGGCAGTTGTGAGCGGGACGCCTGAGCAGTGGGAGGTGATGTCCCCGGGAGGCCCCCGGCGCCGCTTCCCGGGAGGCTGCGGCGGCTGCCAGCGGGGACATCTGCTTTCTCACACCCGCCCGGCTCCCGCCCCGCCGCCCGGTGCGTGGTTATTTCACCGACACGGGGCGGGGGGAGGGGGGAGGAGGGAAGGGAGAGAAGCACGAGGAGGTAGAAAGGGGATGGGTAGGTGGCCGGGAGCTCAGGAGATGTTCTTCCCACTCCCCACGTCCCCTCCTTTTTCCTTTCACATCTTTTAACCTTCAAGGTAAAGCCTTTATAAATGGGAACCCGGAGCGTGTCCGCCGGCTCCGAGGCCCGCCTTCTGCCCGCGGGGCTCGCGGGTGCGGGGCCTGGCCCTTCTCTCCCTCCCTCTCTGCACCCTCCCGGGGGTCGGGCCGGCCCGGAGCGCCCAGCCCGCGGCGCCCGCCCTCCCTCCCTCCCTCCCTCCCGGCTGCTGGCGCGACAGCTGCCCGCGGCCGCGGTAATGAGCCTGTCAGTGCTCGTTAGAGGGAGCGGGGAGCGCGCTCCTGACAGCAGATTCCGAGGCTCCCGGCCTGCTCCTCTCTCCCAGATCTTTAAGGCTTTCCTGGAGGTCTCCCCGGCTCCCCGCTCCCGTCCCTCCCTTCCCGGAGACAGCTCAAGGGGAAGACAGAATGCTCTGCGCGTGGAGCCGGCGTCTCCCGCAAAACCGCAGGCCCGCCTCCCACTCCCGCACGTGCCTCCGATTGCATGTGTCTCCACGCGGGCGGGGGACTCGGCGGGGGCCTGGTCCAAATAGGAGCCAGATTGCATTTAAAATGAATAATAATAATAATAATAATAATAATAACAACAACAACAACAATAATAATAAATACACGGAGCAGGAACGGGGCGGGGGGATGGAGGGAAGCAGAAGTCGGGGAAGAAAAGGGAAAAGCAGCAGGCTGATTACGAGGTGTCAAAACTGCCAGGAGCAAGAAGGTGATAGCAATCAGGGGTGAGAAGAGTGCGGCATTCGTGCGGGGCAACTAATTATCCGTCTCATTTGAGAAGAGCAGCATTTGAGGCGGCAGCGTTCGCCTGCTGAACGGTGACAGATTGGCGCGGAGGAGAGGGGAGGTGTTAAAACAATGGAGCCGGGCGCGCGAGCGCTGCTGCATGCTAATCAGCCCTCCCTCCGCCCGCCCGCCCGCCCGCCTGCCGCGCGCCCTCCTCCCGCTCCCTCCTCCCTCCTCCGCCCCCTCCTCCCGCCGCGGCTCCCTCCTCCCCGCGGCCCGCGCCGCCGCCGCCCGCTCCCCGCTCCCCGCTTTCCCGCGCGCCCTGCCCGCCGCTGGCGAGGGGGACCCGCCGCGGCCCCCGCGGCCCTCGAGGCCCAGCGCCCCGTGCGCCCCCTTCCCGCCCCCGGGGGCGCCGATCGCAGGCCCGGGCCGAGGAGGCCACCCGTGCCCGGGCGCCTGGGACCGGGGGCGGGGGCCGTGGTGCCACGTCTCGGAGAAGAGCACGGGAACCCACTCGCTTTCTGCCGGTGGATTGCACGCGCTGAGCAGCGAACAGGAACCTAAGCGAATGCAGGAAGGGCCAGGGGCCCAGGGGCCCAGGGGCGGGCAGGGCGGGAGAGTAGGGGCCAGAACAACAAAGAAGGCCCCTGGACAGAAGGCAGATCCCGAATCTGGCCCCAGAGCGGTGGCCGCTGCATAAGCCTCCTGCCCGCCCGGGAGCAGCGGCCAGCAGAGTCGCCCTTGTTCCCAGATCTCCCGCAGACCCCAAAACCTCCCACCACCCCCTCCGCTTTCCCCGCGCAGGTCAGAACTATACTAACATAGGATGTAGTGGGCCCAGAAGGAAGACAGATAGGCCTGTGCTCCCAAGGCTGAGCCTCCTGGCCCAAGACTAGGCTAAGGAGCTTCTAGACCTCTCGGTGAAGCACCATTAAACTGCCCTGGTTGAGCTAAAGCCCTTAAGAAGCCGGCCACCCGCCCTCTAACTCCGTGTCTTGGAGGCCTGAGGGGGTCAGGATTGCTGACTCTGGGCTCTGGCCTGAGAGAAATTGGGTCAAAACATCAAGGATTGTGGCTGCCCCTGGACCGAGAATCCCTCAGAACCTGAGGCCCAGGACCTGTGGTTTTGGATAAAATTTCCTCCTGCTTTTTGAGTTTAAAAGCTTCTACTTAAAAATACACTTTTATTCTTACCTTCTTACTATTACAGACCTAACATAAACTACCCTTAAAGATTTAAAAACATTGAAACATTGCCATTCTGATGGTCTAAGTAGGTTAAAGGAAACACAGCTGCAGAGAACTGGTAGGACTTAGACTAAATGAGAATGCAATTCCTTCTAATGGGTTCCCTGTTATTTAGCTAAGCAGGTGCCTAAATTAACATAAACTTCCATCCCCCAAGCCATAGATGGAAAAGGAAAGCAGCTGGAAAATAATCCATGCTGTACAATTTTTTTTCCTGTAGACCTTTACCATTGCACAACTTCACACACACGATTGTTCCTCTAAATCAATTTAAAATGTGAAGATTTGATAAAACTGTCATGCATATTGATACTATTCTCCCTACCCTTCAGTTTGTAATGTTTCACAATAAAAGTACAACACAAAAAAGTAAAATATCACTTGAAAAGATTTGTGGGTTTTTTTATATCACCATGATTGACCTAGTTATATGAATGCTACACAAGCACACAGCAAGTATTTCTCCTTTTAGAATATGCCTCAGCACACCAATACAATAGCTGAATGTAAAATTATTAGGATCAACTAAAATAATACAGAATGTTTAACAGTTTTTAAATTCTTAAAGACTTAAAAGACTTAAATTAAGCATTGTGTGTAAATAAATGTTAATTCTTTGTGGTTTCCATTCTGGAAAACCACCCAGCAGGCCTCTCTGTCCTTAGTGACTCACCGTTTTCTCAGCGCTGGAGTAGGGTCTGGCATTTGAAAAACTCCCTGGCATCTGAAATCTGTTAATATAGCAACCTATATAACAGAGGGAAAAATTACCTTTACATATTTATTAATGTAAACTTGGAGACTCAGATGCACCATCAGCATCAAAATTAAGCAATGTGTTTACTATTCTAATCAGCCTTTCTTTCACTAACCAATTCTGTACAAGCAAAGTATCTCTCTGAAGCAATGAACCTATTGAGCTCAAATAAATGTAAGTCAATGCCATGCTACATGACGTATTTCTAATCGCTAATCAAATTTGTTACCTTCCAACAATTTGGTTGGTATGGGTTTAGTGTAATTTCTCCTCAGTCTTTAGACTTCACAAATTTGCAAGATTGTTTTAATGGTGCATTTACAGTTAAGTTCTTATTTGCACGTAAGGACAAAAAGGTGAAGTGAAATTTGGTC